AAGTGACGTAACCGGTGCTGCGGCTTAACACCGGTAACACTGTCAACACCGACTATCACAGCAAGCCTATGGAAAATTTGAAAATTAGCAAAGTTTTGCAGGCAAAAAAGGTCTGTTGTCAATAGTCCAGTGGTGTTTGAAGTCATTTTCAAACAATCAGCTTTCTGTTGGTCAATGAGGCAAAATCACATGTCCAACTTGAACGCATTGTGAAATTTGTGTGGGGAAATCTTTTGGCTTTGTGCTAAATTCCCAATCGAGCAGATTACTGTTGAAATGACTGGATTTCACCCAATAAATCTGATATATGATGATGGACTGCACCTTTATGGTGAACAAATTTGCGTTAATCAACTTGAACTTGATGCAAAGTCTGCACGGCAAAACCTTTCACCCCACGCTAGCGTACACATACAAGAACAAAGCATACTTTGGGCTTAAAGCAGAATTCCCACAGATTCGGTTTAAAAAATACTCCATTTTTGACTGCAAAAATTCAACAACTCCAGTAAATGTGAGCGCACTTTTAGTCAACTAGTCACTAGACGACCCAACAGCTAATCCATTCTGACCAGCAGTCTTCCAAAAACAATGAAAACTATTTATATTCACACTGCCAAACGACATCTGACTACAAATCCACCGGTTTGATCATTAAATAGCAAACATGGATGTTTATTTTTAGAGTACTCCACAATTTTGAAAGGATATTTCTGGAACATGATGAAAGCATGGCTGAGCAGAGATAAATTGTACCAGTGTCCTTAAAAGGAACTTCTACAACACAACATATCTGGGAAATAGTCTGCCTAACCCTCAAACTGGAATGCAGCAATCACATTAAACAACGGTTTGTGTGTCAAATGCGGTCACAGATCAAGTCTGATCATGCAGTTTTCTTATTCGTTTCATTGTCGCTTAGACTGCATCACAGTAGCTTTGTTTGTACTGGCCCACTACGAATCTACCGAGCCGTTTTCCCTCAGGTCAAACCACATAAAACTAAAAGCAGATACTCTTTGGTGAGAATCAGCGAGCTGATGCTATTTCCAGTAAGGTCTGGAGGCGCTTGTATGGCGATAGACACCGCCTTGAACTTCATGAAGCCTTGTTGGACTCATTCCTTTCTCTAGTACTACAGGAAACTAAGAGGAAAAACCTACTGCTTTTACTGTCAATCCAAACCTGTATGACTGACTGAGGCTGTCAAACTTTAACGCAAGAAGTCATGCAGGTTTGAAACAACATGAGGATGATGAGGTGACAGCTTGTAGGTGAACTAAACCGAAACTCCTTACAACCAGAATTTGGTCCTTTTGATCCTCAGAAACGTTCAACTTGCTAAATTATTACTAATAAGGAAGTTAAAATGAAGTCTGACAGCAACCAGCAGTCAACATCCAATATGAAGATTTCCACACCTTTTGACCAATGAATTGCCAGTTTTTTATGATTACTGTATAAGTATTATTTTAATATATATTTTTAAAGAGATTGCTCTCACCAAGAGGAATTTCTAGCTGATTCTGAATATTTCAGAACTTAGGCTAATTCACTAAAGAAATGTATGACTTTGATTAACTTCTATAGCTAAAAATAACATTTCCTAATATTTCCAGGTTTTACATAATCATAGGAACCTTGCAATATACACTAGCCTACTATATAGTGTTAAACCTAAAAATGAAAATTGTCATCATTTACTCACCTTCAAGTTGTTCCAAACTTGTACGAGTTTCTTTTTTCTGTATTCTGCACAAAAGAAGAATGTTGGTAGGTTGATGGTAGCCATTGACTTCCATAATATGGGAAAAAAATAAAATAAAAATACTTTGGAAATCAATGGCTACCATCAACTGTTTGGTTACCAACATTCTTCAAAATATTTTTTTTGTGTTCAACAGCTAAAGGAAACTCATACCTCAACTAGCACACATACGTCTGCAAGATGTCGGTTAAAGATCACTTCATCTGGAAAGCATCTGCTTTGTAGAAACATCTGATAGACGTCTTTATGATTTAGAATACGTAAAACTAACATCTTAAACATCTTATAGACATCTTCTAAACATCTATTTGACATCTGATAGGAAACGTCCTATAGACGTATTGCAGATGAGCAAACACTCAAAAAAATACGTCTTGCAGATGTTAATGCAGACGACAAATAGACGTCTCCGTGATGTACGTGTGCCATCAGGGACAGGTTAGAAACAGCACAAGGGTGAGTACATGACAGGATTTTCATTCACCCAAAAATAAAAATTCTGTCATTTACTCATTTGTTTCTAACCTGTATGACTTTGTTTCTTCTGTGGAACACAAGCGACGATATTTTGAGAATGTTTCAGTGTTTTTTGTCCATGCATGAAATAAAGTCTTACCGGTACAAAACAACATGAGGGTAAGTAACTGAGTGAAAAGAATTTACAATAACTATCCCTTTAACCTGTAACCAAAAATGCAAAACATATGTTTCACATTTTAAAAGTAACCTTACAAGCAGCATTTGAAGGCTGCACATTAAGCTGGGGAAAATAAAGGTCAGTGTGACAAATAAGGTAAATTAACACCCATTTATGGAGCGCCATCTTGGACAACGGGAAGAGGGCAGGTACTGCGAAGATCCCGTATTCTGGAATGACTTTACGCACATTCCGCGGCTGAATGACACGCGTGTTCCCTGCCGTACACAAGTTCACGTACGCAGTCTGGTGATTTTCGAATCTGACCGTTTGCACTAACAACACCTCCCTCTTTATGAAAACACATTTCTTTAACTTTAAGTCAAGTCCGTACGCCGTCTCGACCTGGACTTGTAACGCTCAACACTTGAGTTTCAACAAAACAAAAAATAATTTTTAAACATTCTGGCGATTTTTCGCCAAATACAACCAGCTAACCTCGATGACACAGTGACAGACTTAGCCTACATAAATAAAAAGACGCAAGAAATCGAAACGCTATCATCCTGGAGCGAACAAAAACCTCTCCAAATTATTATTATTATTGTTGTGTTTGTTTAGTCAGCTAGCAGCCAGCGTGTGTTAGCTTTCATTCCCATTCAAGCTGCTCAGGCCGTGTATTTCTAATAAACCGACTGACAGGTTGATCGAAACCCCGGCTGTGTTTCCCAACCCTTGAGGGCTGCCTACAAAGACAGCACTTCAGAGTTCCAGCAGCATTTTGGCGCGTTTTCAGTCAGGCGTTTAAAATACCGCTTTATTCTACGCCACGTCAAATAAACAAAACCAACTGAAATACGCGTCATTTTGGCGCGTTAATTCCAAATTAAACGCGGTTTAGAGCCGCACTCCGACTCCGCACCTATGCTGACCAAACGTGCTGTCTAGGTAGGGCAGCCTACTAGTTAATAAAACACAGCCACAGTTTTCAGCCCTCCACTAAAGGCAGCATAAGAGTGCAGTTAATATCGTTTATTTACCGTGATGTTTACGAATGTGCCCCCCTCCTGCGCTGCCCACACGTATTTAGAGTCCGAGTTGCACCCAACAATGGCGGAGTCCTGGCACGAGCCATCCGACATCAGGTTATCCACGTAGCTCTGCCAAGACGACATATTTGCCCTCTGGTTTCAAACGCTCACAAGCTAGCCTTAAAAAGAGGGACTGACAGTTGCGAGCGGTCTCGGTTTGCGGTTACTGTGTATCTGGATGTCCCGCACGCCCCCTTCTCTAATGAGAGTTTGCGCAGTAAAGAGTCCCGGCTGAATGGAGACTCTGTGTGTAGTCCCTCAAATATCCCTCCGCGCAGGCGCGCTTAGGCTGCGGTCCATTAGAACAAAGCCGTATGCGCGGATTAATACGCTTTCTGATTGGACGCTAGTGTGCGTGAGCGTTTAGAAGCCACGTTTTGTATGACAAAGTTAGTTCATGTGTGTAATGTAAATTAAAAACAATACATTTTTTTGGGAGTACTATTCAAAATGTATTTAAATCTGTTTTTTGGTTTGTACCGAACATTTCACTTTGTTTTCAGTAGCCTATTATATACATTAAAAGCATTTCAAAAGGTTTTGTCACATGGCAAAAAAACTAACTCCAGATGTGACCTTTCTCTGAAGCGGCTTCTCCTTGTTTCGTTTTGTAGATCCAGAACTTCTCATCTCTTTATTACCTTCTTAAGTAGGTGATTTTTGGGGTGAGAAGATCACACAATATTTGATTAAATTTGAGTTGCAACACAGAAGGGAAATAAAGTATCTGGTCAGGTGGATATTAAAAGAGATGGACAGAGTGTATAGCAATCTCATTAAGTTTTAACATCAAATCGTTTCTGGATGTACTTTTTTTGTAACATCAAACACTGACAAAATTTAACGAAACAAAACGTCATAAAATGTATTTATTAGTTTGACAACCATCTGAATGGTTCTTATTTGCTGTCTGTCACCACATAAATCATAGCCTCTTACGACCTCTTCTGGACGAATCACGTAGCGATATTGAAGAATTCATGCTCTAAAGGTGACTATGTACACAAGTTAAGGCTGCTCTGTGCCAACTCAAAATTCAATGTAAAATATAGATGCCGCATAAAAACCAGACTAAATTATGCCTGCTCTGAGCCACAGCACACGTCTGCAAGATGTCTGTTAAAGATCGCTTCATCTGGAAAGCATCTGCTGTGTACAAACATCTGACAGACGTCTTTAAGATGTCAGTTTTACATGCATTCTAAATCATAAACATCTTATAGACATCTTCTAAACGTCTATTTGACATCTGATAGGAAACGTCCTATAGAGGTATTGCAGATGAGCAAACACTCTGAAAAATACGTCTTGCAGATGTTAAATAGACGTCTCCGTGATGTACGTGTGCTATCAGGGCGCTAGCATCACATTATACAGCTGTGTATAAATGCATTTAAGCCACCTCTGAGCAGCATTAAATAGTCTGTGTAAAGACACCTTGATAAAGCGCTTTTATGCCCCCAAATTTCCAGTAAGCAACAAGTCAGAAAATAAATTAATTTTATTTCTAGTTATATTTTTTTAGAACAGTCGATAGATATTTTACACTTATTAATTCAGCAGGTGTTTTATTAAAGTGGCTCAATTTCACTGTTGCATATTATTGGCTGGCACAAAACAGTGTCCATGTTATCGGTAGTAGTGCAGAGAGAAACAACTAATGCAGCGATTCATACGGTGGCCGAGAAGTGCAAAGCAGATCACAATTCTGAAAACAAAATAACAAATTACAAACGCAAATGCAAGTCTAAAAAACAAAATAACAATTCAGAAAGCACAACAACAATTCAGAAAACATTATAACAAGTCAGAAAACACAACAACAAATTATTTTGTTTTCAGAATTGTGATCTGCTTTGCACATCTCGGCCACCGTAGATTCAAGAGATTTTTAGTACAACTCTTGAGCACCATCTCGCAGAAATGTGCAAATATTTTGGACGGGCTATTTACAAAAGTGACAGCAGAAAATACAAAATGCAGTCATTTCCTAGAGGTACACATGCACTGCAAATATTTACATAGGCTAGTTGACATTTTTCAGATTTGTGTTACTCATATTAACAGGCCTCTTCAGAAGAAAGCAACGCGTTTTACTTGTCTAAAGGAGATTAACAAGTTACATAACACCTGCTTGAATGATCACATAGCATTAAACAATTTCTCAAGCACAAAGCCCGGTTGTATCTATGCTGCGCTAGCGACCTCTTGTGGATTAAGTTTGTATTGATATATATATATATAGTTACTGAGAGTTTTAATTTTCGGGAATAAAAAAAAGTCATGTTTACTCACAAGGAGTCTCACACACAGCCTTCATTGCGCAATACATGAAGGCAGTGAGGGCCATTAAGATAATAACTCGAGAAGACGAGCATAGTTAATGCAGCAGCCGAGGAGAAAATTGGAACCAATGTCAACAACTTCAAGAATTAATTGATTTGTTTCTTTGACCTAATTTAATAAATCACTCTCTTTTTCAAGTATCCTTGAATTTCTCCTCACATGTCAGTTCAGTGAATCTTTCCAAAGATACATAGGACTTGCAAATGTTATGCTTTTATTGTAATTTTACTGACACCCCTAGAAGTCGTACATGTTTTTGGTAGGTTTTTAAAACTAACCTGCAGCAAAATTATCATCAAAAGGCATTTGAGACTTGATTTGGGCTTGAAAGATATGAAATTTGACTTGGACTTCTTGTCAAAAACCACGTCTGGTTTCAACACATGTACAGGACGTTCCCTTAACTACCAGTGTTGGGGGAAATTACTTTTAAAAGTAATAGATTTCAATATGGCGTTACTCCAAAAAACTGAGTGAATAAATTGGAAATAAAGTAACTTGCTTTACTTAATTGAAAAATTAACTCAGATATTTAATTGTAAATTAAAAAGTAACATGCTACTTTACTAGTTACTTGAAAAAGTAATCTGATTACATAACTCGCGTTACTACCCCCAACATTGTTTACAACCACACATTCTTAAAAATAAAGGTGCTTCACGATGCCATAGAAGAACCTTTTTGTCTAAATGGTTCCATAAAGAATCTTTAACATCTGAAGAACCTTTCTGTTTCACAAAAGCTTCTTTGTGGCGAAATAAGGTTCTTCAGATTATAAAAAGGTAAGAAAGAGATGGTTCTTTAAAGAACCTTTGACTAAATGGTTCTTTGCGGAACCAAAAATGGTTCTTCTATGGCATCGCTGCGAAGAACCTTTTGAAGCACCTTTATTTTTAAGAGTGTATCTCACAAACTGTTTACAACCACACACTCTTAAAAATAAAGGTGCTTCACGATGCCATAGAAGAACCTTTTTGTCTAAATGGTTCCATAAAGAATCTTTAACATCTGAAGAACCTTTCTGTTTCACAAAAGCTTCTTTGTGGCGAAATAAGGTTCTTCAGATTATAAAAAGGTAAGAAAGAGATGGTTCTTTAAAGAACCTTTGACTGAATGGTTCTTTGTGGAACCAAAAATGGTTCTTCTATGGCATCGCTGTGAAGAACCTTTTGAAGCACCTTTATTTTTAAGAGTGCAGAACCAAACACTCTCAAAATCTTTAATTCAAAGGTTTATATCACGGACACATCGAAGTCAAATATCCTGACACTGATACCATAACACAGCTTACAACACGAGTATATTTTCCTCAGGTCCAGATTTGCCTACTTTGGCTACTCCAAGCCAGAATAAACCTGACTGTTCTCGCAAACTCTCAAAAAAACCAACTTCCCGTTTAGATTTTAAAGTTAGAGAAATTCCCTCAAACCTTTTTTATATCTCGGAAAAGCTGATTGAACTGGACGTAACCGCAGCGCATGTTAACACAGCGTCCAGCCCACAGACACAAAGAACGTCTCTATGTCTGGACATGACAAATAGCACCTGTCTTCAGGCGATTGATTCAAAGCCCTAGTATGGTAAAAATGCAAACTGGTTTTAAAACTTGGACACATAAATGCAGCCAGCTAAAATAACAAGCGTGTCCCATTCACCACGGGACCGAGGCAAATACAATAAACAATCATATGTTGTGTAACTTCTGAGCGACATTCTGAATTCCGAAGCGGCTTTTGTTGAAATTTTGAACTTTTATATACAGCTTTATTATTACCTTTCAGGATTTGCTATGACCAAATCAACCAGTTTCAGAAAGCTGCATCTGTGTCTTCTAATATAAAAAGTTCACCAAGTACTTCTTTCAGTATAGTGCACTTTTCACAGCTGTTTGGATAGGGCTGCAGAGAGGATGGGCGAACTCAAACGCAAAACAAACACAGCCTCCCCTAAAATAATGACCTAAACTAATAAACAAACTCCAGCGAAGATGTTTCTGTCTACACTAGCTGCATTCCTCCTCGACCCCTGCGTGAACTTTTTCCGAAATGCTAAACAAAGAAGAAACTGTGTTTTGTAACACGATTTTGCTAGAAACACTTGAAGCATGACTAGGCAAAAATTAACAAATAAATCAATTGTTATGCATTAAGTAAAGAAACATTAGATAGAACAACATCAATGAAACATTTGCATTTCATATATACAGTACTGTGAAAAATTCTTAGGCCACTAGTATTTTAACAACAAAAAATGGTTTTCAGTCAGTTATTTCTATCTTTTGCTGTAGTGTGTCAGTAGGAAATATCAGTTTACATTTCCAGACATTCCTTTTGCCATTAATTGTAATAATCCAGTGAGATTTTTGTGCTCCACACAGAGATCTGATCTGATCATCATCAGTCTGTCTGAGATGACATGAAGAAACAGAACAAACTCAGACAGACTCAATCCAGAAGAACTGCGGCAGCGTCTCCGAGACGCTTCAAGAGACCTCCTGCAAAACTACAATACTGAGGTTTTAGGCACTTGTGTAAAAATGCTGTAAAATGAGAATGCTTTCAAAAATAATGTCATAACTAGATGTTATTTATTAATTAACTTCTATTAACTAAATCAAATCAATATTTGGTGTGACCAGTGTTGGGGAAAGTTACTTTTAAAAGTAATGCATTACAATATTGCGTTACTCCATAAAAAAGTAACTAATTACGGTACGTAGTTACTTTTTATGGAAAGTAATGCGTTACGTTACTTTTGCGTTACTTTTAAAATCTGGACAGGGCTTGCTTGTTTGTTTTTAAAATAAAAAAGTTATATTTTTGGCAAATATAAAAGCCTTTTCACACCAAAAGTGAAATGAATAAGCCTCAGGCTGAAGGGAAAGTAAAGAGTAATTTTTGCTTATTAGTACGGTTGAACTGGATCATCGAAGGTCAGAAGCAAAGACATTGGTTAATAGAATGGGATTAAATACATAAAGGACATTTGTGTTGTTTAACATTTAATTATTGCAGGTTTGCATCATATTCTGAGTTGCATTATTTTTATTCATTTTGAGGAATACTGAATCTCAATTAAAGTCAATTAAAAAGTAATGCGTTACTTTACTAGTTACTTGAAAAAAGTAATCTGATTACGTAACTCGCGTTACTTGTAATGCGTTACCCCCAACACTGGGTGTGACCACCCTTTGCGTTTAAAACAGCTTTTGTACGAGGTGCACTTGCACATAGTTTTTCATATGTGTGTATGTATGTATGTACTGTATATGTGTGTGTGTGTAAATGATGTGATAAAATTAGTTGAAATAATGTCCTACAATGTCTGATCATCTGTTAAAATGTCTGTTAAAGTTGGCATAACAAGCCTGTTAAATATTATAAAATCATTTTTCTTTCCAACATAACTTACAAATAAACCTGTTTGGTTGTATCCACTCTGGTTTTCCAAATTTACATAAAACCACTAGAAAAATCTCCTCGTGTATGACAGCCAACTGCAATCAACAAAAGTAAATTACCCTTTTAACAGAAAAAAAGACAGAAATGTAAGATATGATAAGATAACATACAATAACAATATAACAGTATTACAATATATAATATAAAAGATAATATAATATAATATATATTTGCAGTGCACAATAGCACAATATCACTGGTGTGGAAAATAAAACATCTGTTTTTATCAAATGTTTTTATGAATTCGTTATTAAAATCATTAATAACTTTATCAGAGAGTCCAATAAGAAAAACAGTAATACAAACGTTTGATAAAATGTATTTATGTCGTCTGAATTTCTTTCTCCTGGCACTTTAAAAAAAAAAAAGAATAATGCGTAGTGGTCGGTATTCCCGACTGACTTACGTACGCTTGTGCGCAATCCACCCATAGCGCAGCGCGTGCGCTACGTAGCCATCTTGTGTAGAGCAGAGGAAGCGGAGCCGTTAGCTCGAGATCTGCGTTGACAGCAGACGAACTGACAAACAAACCGTCGCTCTGCTCCCGACAGACTCCGCTAGCGCCAGAAACGGATAGTAAACATGCGTTACTACGTGTCGAGATGTCTATCCGATGTGTTTCACGGAGGATGTGTGCTTCTGAAGAAGGGAGAGTGTTGAGAACCGAAGGCGCCTCAGAGTCACGTTGAATCCGGAGACTGGAGAATTTCAACCGCGAGAGCGGCCTGACAGAAACTCTCACACCGGGACACGGCCTTCGTTTAGGCCACGGAGAATAGAGATACGGGCTCGGAAGGATTAAACACAGCTGGAATAAAGCTGCCATTGTGTTTGGAGCTTCAATTTAAAGGATTTAAAGGAGTGAAAATGCCGCGATGAGGGAGTCCTGAGTTAGCGTTACGCTAACTGAAAATTACATGACATTTTCATACACATTGCGTTACTACGCTTACATTGGAGCTGTGCGCTTCAGTCTGACACGTTGAGATCAGAGCAACGCGCTTAAAGCTGTCAACATGTCTAAAATGCCGTCGAAAAAGAAGAGCTGTTTTCAGATCACCAGCGTAACGCAGGCTGCGCAGGTGGCCGCCAGCAGCAACACGGACGACACCGAGAGTTTAGACGACCCGGACGAGCCCAGAACTGAGGACATGTCCTCATCCGAGATATACGACATGTCCAAAGCTGGAGATTTCGAGCCGGAGGCGTGTGATGTCAGTTTGTCGGATGAATCGCTTCATAACGATGCTGAAACATCTGGCCAAGATGGTCCCATAACGACCATACCTGGTTCTCGTAGCCCAGGTGCTGTTCATATAAACCCAAATGTCCGTGCATTGGGCGGGACCGTATCTTCCCAGTCTTCAGGTTCAGCTGCATCTAATGCACCATCCAGCACATCACAGACTTCATCGGTTAGCAGTTCTGCCACAGTAAGTAGCTGCAGCTCCCGTTTCAGGGTCATCAAATTAGATCATGGTACGGGCGAACCCTTCAAAAGAGGTAGGTGGACTTGCACTGAGTTTTATGAGCGAGATACGGATGCTTCCTCGTCCGCGCGGACTGTGGATAACGTCAAGCACGTTGGCACCACGGACCATGGCGCGGACAGGGATGCACTAGGAGTTGCGGGAGGTTCGGTGGCTGCTCATGTTGGGCTTTCAACACCTGCAGCAGAACCACACACCAATAGCGGTTACATATTTGCACCATCGAACCCACCTGTGGAGGGTCAGCAGCAAACCTTTGGCAGTTCGCAGCAGGGATTAGGGCTTGTAGCCCAGAACCTTTACGGCGATGCCCACGCTCAACATGTCAAATCTCCCAGCATGCCTTCGACAACTCAGCCACAGCCATTTTTCCCGGGGAAGCAGGCACAGAAACCTGGCCAGATTCTTCAGACTGTTATTCCATCGAACCAGGCTGACTACAGAGCGCCGCAACCTCCCGGGTCTCCGGCCCAGACCGTCTCAGTGACTTCTCTTCCGCTCGTGACCCCCTTGAACCAGGGTCCGTCACCTGTCATGACTCCTGCAGCGGGAAGCGCTCACATGCTCGGATTAGTTCCTCAGCCCGTGGATGGCAGAGGGCTTCCCATCAGCCAGCCGGAGCATGTTCAGGGGCTTTTACAGCAGTCGGGTATCAACACGGCTCTAGGGACTGTGTCAGCCGCAGCTGTTGTACAACAGGCACCAGTGCCGCTCATCCAGCCAGCAGTAACTGTGTCTGTCAGCCCCCATGCTGTGGTCCCTGGTGTGCAAAATGTGCCTGTTATGTCCAGTGCCTCTAATACCCCCCAGGGCATGCCAAAACAGATGCCGGCCCCCCAGCAGAATCCGCCTCAGGGAGTCCACAGCGGTTCAGTAGTAGGACTGGGTGCGCTGACAACCCCCGCTAACTTTAGCCAGCTTCCCACCGGCGTCGCCCTGGCCAATGAGAACCAGAGGAAGCCCGACGGGCTACTCCAGAGCTCTGTGCTCATAGGAAAAGATGCCATCAAACCCCTGAATCCCGAAGGCTTGCAGCTTCCTACACCTGCTGTCAGCAGCCTGTTTGGAATAGCTATTACCATTGATGGGGATGAGGACAGGTAAATCTTTATTCTTGATGTTGCTCACTTGGATTAAAAATAGATCAAACATGCGTTAAGCAAACCGTTTTATCACAACTCTTGCAGGTGTTGCAAATATTTACTTTTGAAAGCATGGTACCTTGAAAATATGTCCGGGTGTAGGAGTTAATTTTGTCGGGTGGGAGTCAGAATGTGTTTTTTTTTAACATGGGTAGTTTTCCCCCCAAATGATCCTTTTTCACAGACAGTGGTGACTCATTTCCACGATTATTAAAATCATAAATCAGGGACCTCCAAACCTGTCCCTGGAAGGCACTGACCTGCAGAGTTGATATCCAGCCCAAATTAAACACACCTGAACCAGCTAATCAAGGTCTACAGGATTACTAGAAACTTCCAGGCAAGTGAGTTAAAGTTGGTTGGAGTGAAACTCTGTATGACATTGGCCTCTGACACCACTGTCATAAATTTACCATGTTTTTATACATCTCCAATTTTAATAAAATGAATGTACATTTCTAATAACACTATACTTCGTGTTATATTACCTTGGCATTAATTGAATGACATAAGACTAGTTAATGCTGTTGTGTGGGTGTTTCTAATACAACAGCTGAGGGTGTGATGGCAAATTTGACTTCTTACTCTCTTCTGACCACAGTAATCAGTCTCTGTATTTGTTCCCCCCATCTTTTGGAGAATCATAGAAACACTATAGTGGAGAGTCGAATGCATGTATTTTGAAATATCTGAAAAATAAGATAGAAAAAGTAGTTTTTCTTTTGCTGTTGGAGCAAATGCAAATGCAAAAATCACTACAATAGAAGTTTACCCAACTATTATGACTTCTGAGAACCCAGTAAATGTGGAAAAAGGTCCATTCCACATTTTGGATGTGTCAAGTCACCAGCTCATTTATATTGTATTGACATCTATAATATGAAGGGGGTCTCCAGGGCAGGATGGGAAGTACTGCTTCAGTGAAACATATTTGTGAACTTAATAAGTGAAATTAAATTTATAACAATGCAATGATCTCATTTTTTCAAATCACGTTGTTATGCCAGATGGTTTGAGCTAATTCCTACATGCTTATTTGACATAGTAAGAATAGTTTTAAGAATAGGCAGTAGTTACGTAAATCCTGAAGACCTTGGTTCAGGTGTGATTGATTAGGTTTGTAGCTAAACTCTGCTGTACTGCAAGCGCTCCAGGAGCAGGATTGGCTGTCCTGACTTCAAAGGATTTTACTCAAATATGTAAAAGTCTGTCAACTTTTGTTCACCCTGTCATTCCAAACCGGTATGACTTTTCTTTCTTCTGCAGAGCACAAAAGAAGATTTAAACTGCTTTTGTCCAGTCAGTGGGGTTTAAAGCAAAGGTGGCAGTTTAAAAAAAATCTTCTTTTGTGTTCTACAGAGTAGAAAAGAAGAAAAAGATTCTTTGTGGTTCTCAAACATTAGTGGAACAAGTTCATATTTTAATGTGTTAACTTGACTTCATAAAACTCACCTTGACCAGCTGGTTTAAAAGTCACTGCAAACGTGGCTCAGAAATGTGTAGATCCGAGGAGACACCTAGCATCAATTTTTTGCACGTCGTTATTTCCCCTGTCCTTCAAACTTGTTATAAAAAAGGCAGCCTGTGGTTATGATCATTTCATTGGTAAAGCATTTGGAAAGTTTGACACCTAAGTATCTGACTCAAGTGATCTCGTTTTGTTTTTGTAGAAAACATTCACATCAAATTTACCCACTGTACTATCCAGTTCCTAAAGATTGTTTTGGTGCCACTAATTTCCTCCTCACATGCATTTCACCAGAAGTTGAGCTGTTTATTTAGACTGATTAGGTGATGCTATAGCATGTGTTTCCTATCTTGTGATGTGCAGAAGCTGCTATGCGCTCTATGCACTAACACTAAGGCCTTCAAACATGTGTAACATCTGCATGATGTAATGCTGCATATGGATGTTGTTTACTGTCAGCAGTTGGTAGGAATCCAAGTAAAATCTGTACATTCTGTGCTGAATACATGCTGCCACCATTCTTGACAGGCTTTTGAGAATTGTTCAGAGGCAGACCTTGTAACCTTTGTGGGTTTAGTTAAAATTGTGCTCATTTGTAGACGTCACCATTTTGGTGTCCACATCAAGTTAACTTGACAAAAGTAATTTTAAATTAGGGCTGGACAATAATTCAATATCAATATGTATCGCGATTATAATTTTTTTCAGTAACTGTGATATGATTTTTTAACACATTTCCGATATTTCGATATACATTACCACCCGTCTCCAGCAACATTTCCAGTTTTTGTTGTTGTTCTTTTTTTGTTTTCTGCAGCGACTCTGAGCACTTTTCATACCCTTTGCCTCTACTTTTAAACAAAAAAATTTTGTTTAAAAGTTTTAGTTTTATTCTAGCTTAAAGCATTCTTTTTCTGTGGCTCTAATAAAATCTGTATGCTTCACATAGAGAGCTATAATATAGATCGCGCTTTCTGTTTCCGTTTTGCTCTGTTTTTTTTTTATTTTACACCGAACTTCAAACTCATCTGTGCCACTTTTCTGATCATTCTTGAAGTGAACTTTTGCCCGTTTGGAGTCTAAACTGTTTTAGACCACTTGAACTGAACGCGATGCGTCCGGCGTGTGCGATACCTGTGAGTTGTAGCAAATGAAGTGTGACAGTATACATACAATATCCATATGTATGTAATTTCAATGCTATGGTCTTTGTGTAGATATTTAAAGATGGCCATCTTTAAGCATGACTGTTTGGATTTATATGAAATGGTAACACTTTAAAATAAGAGTCCATTTGAGTCCAACATTAACTAAGATTAATAAAAGCTGTAGAAGTATTGTTCCTTGTTATTTCAGCATTAACTAATACATTTTTACATTTTTTACAGTTGCTTCTGTTAACATTAATTAATGAACTATGAATGAACTCAATATATAATTAATATTTAATATTAATATTTTTATTCATTTACAAAGTATGGTTCAGTACTGATTTTTATTTTTTTATTTTTTATATTTTGTTCAGTGTTCATTTTAAAACCTAGCTATCGGTCAACCTCTAATGTAAATCTTAAAGGAATAGTTCAGCCAAAAATGAAAATTTGCTGAGAATTTACTCACCCTCAGGCCATCAAAGTTTGTAGATGAGTTTGTTTCTTCACCAGGTTTGTAGAAATGTAGCATTGCATCAGTGTCTCAGCAATGGATGCTCTGCAGTGAATGGGTGCCGTCAGAATGAGAGTCCAAACAGCTGATAAAAACATCACAATAATCCACACCACTCCAGTCCATCATCCTTAACATCCTGAGAAGACAAAAGCTGTGAGTTTGCAAGAAACAAATCCATCAAGACATTTTTTAACTTCAAAACCTTGCTTTTGGTCATCTCGTCTGAATCAGGAGAGAAATATGCACAGATCAAGCACTGTTTACAAGCTAAAACAGTTTAAAATAAATATTGCGATGTTTCTATGAGCTGTTTGGACTCTCATTCTGACGGCACCCATTCACTGCAGAGCATCCATTGGTGAGCAACTGATGCAATGCTACATTTCTACAAACCTGTTCTCATGCAAAAAACGAACTGATCTACATCTTGGATTGCTTGAGGATGAGTACATTTAAAATGTAAATTTTTGGGTGAACTATTCCTTTTGGGCTGCTGTTTGTTCCAAACCAAAGACATCTTTTCTCTCACCTTTGAGACTACACATCAGCGTTTGAGTAGTTAATCTGTTTATACTCCAGATTATTGCATTAACTGAGGATAATGCGAGATGTCTCAGTTCTCCAGCATATCCTGCTCCGCTAAATACCCAGGAAATGGCCCTTGACAATTTTGACTTTCACTCATCACTTTCTGTTCCCCTATAAAGGCCATAAGAAAGAGGAAGTGACCTTTTAACAGATATGAAGATATAAATCAGTTTATTAACTTGCTGAAGTGGCATCACAGTTGGTGAACCGTGGCGAACGCCTCAGGATTTGTAGAGAATGCGTTACAGGGTTCAGACCAGTTTAACTTTGAATACGTTTGAACAGTTACAGGCTGTTGTTTCTCACATATGCAATGAAGCGCAGCTTTTAAAAGAAAGTTTGTTATTTTAATCCTCTGTTGTTGTAGTTGTTATCTTCCAAGGGTTGTGCGACTACACCTACCTGACTATCGGCGTCTTTATATTTGTTGATAGATTTTGAAAAATGAGTCTAGTCTGATGTTTCTACATGTTTAGCTCTGCACCTGTTTGAGAAACCGCAGTAGCTGAAGTTTGTTCGTTTGAAGAGCAGGTGTGGTGCTGATGTTTTATTCCTCACCGTAATGGTGCAGGTGAGTCAGTCCCCTCACCGGCGCTCTGACAGTTAGGCGTTTGTATATATTATGCCATCATGTTTTGGAAGACTTGCTCTTGTACATGAAAGCATTGACCTTACAGCTGAGTACGTAACTGACTCATAAAGGCTTCACTGCCTTATATGAAGCTGAAACATTGTGCTGTGTGCTGACTTTCTTAACAGACTAGTGACATATCTGTCATCTGAGTCTTAGGACCCAAATCTCCAGAAGGTTGAAGAAGCCATGATAAAACCTCAGTGATTACTTTTGAACAGAGACAAAATTACACTGCATTTAGAAATGTGTTTAGGTTTTTGGATGAGTTAATAGAAATATGATAGATCAAGTCAAAAGATTTGAATGTTGAAAGAAACTGTCATGTCATGTCACGCATTACTCTGTTATTTATAAGAGATTCTTCCAGATATGAGGAAATGTTGTTACTGATAAAACACATTTTAAATCAGTCAAACACTTCCTCTATTTGTATCTCTGTCCAATTCAAGTGAATTTAAGTTGTACTGTGTAATCACTCATTGATTACAAGGGCTCGCAAAATTTCTAAATCCCCGGTAGCCCTTCAAGCAGGCACTCTTCAGATTTTGGTAGCCCGAAATAAATGTAACTAGCCCAAATAAAAAAGACAATTTTTTGAAA